ATGGAATGCAAATTCGAGAATTTCATCGTCGGTGTGATAATAAAGGACCCACTTTAATTATAGTGAAAGTCGCTGGCACTGGAAACATCGTCGGAGGGTATAATCCATTACCTTGGAAATCTACTCATCAATGGTTATTCACTACCGAAAGTTTTATTTTTTCCTTGGGCATAGAAGGAAAAGGAGTGGACGGGAAAGGCATCAAAAATTCTATATTAAGCAGGGTGACAAAGTATGACGAGGCGATATTTGATGGAGACGACACATCTGCGAACTTTGGATTCGGATATGACCTGTGGTGGTTCGGTGGTCGGGGGGACAATAGGAATTATAAGGAAAAAATTTTGGATAGCGTCCAATTTAAGACTGAGGATTATGAAGTATTCGAGGTTATTAAAAAATGATATTATGTCTCGATGGAGTTGGCTAGTTGATTGGCCCAATGTACCTCGGAAACTGAAAAATAGGATTTTTCAAAATCAATGTGTTTTGTAAAATAAAGATACATTGGTCGTATAATTTATGGTTGTATGAACATTAAATACAGTATAATGTACGTATCATAAATTGTAAATGACATCTTTCTTTTATTTTTAATGAAAAAAACAACATATTTTTTCTTTTAATAATAATAATAATAATATAATTTCTTTATTAAATTTAACGTATCAATATTAACATTAATTCTTATTCAAATAATGAGTTTTAAAATAGTCAACCATCGATTAAATATTTTTTAATAATTTTTTTAAAATAATTAAATGTATATACTGTATATACTGTATGTATACAATAGTTTTAAATAATAATAATAATTTATTTTTATATCAATAAAAATATTTCAATGCAAATTATTAAATTAAAATAATAAATAAGAAATAATATTTTTTACTTTTAATATATAAAATCAATTGATATACAGTTTGATGCAAAAGTCGTTGGATTCTTATTTTAGCTTATAACTTAATAATCAATTGATAATATAATATAATATACTATATATATGTACTGTATATTATTTAAAGATTTATAAATTAAAATTATTTAAAAAATTTGTTATTATATAATACTGTAATATATTAGTAAAATTATATTTGAAAATAAAAAGTTTTTAATTAACTTTCATTAACTATAAAAAAATAATTATAAATTATTTTTATATTTTATTAAAGAAATTTATTTAATTATTATTAACAAAACTATATATTGTTATTTTTTTTTATAATTTCTTTATTAGCAAAAAAAAAATTATTTAAATAATAAATAATTATTAAATTTTAATAAAAATTTTTTTATTCCTTCATTTATAGGTTTACCAGTTTTCCTATAAACATCATATCCAAATATCTGAATTCAAATCAAATTTAGTTTAGCTATATGAAAAATAGGACCTCTGATCTTTCTGATAATTGCAGGCTAAAACAAGTCAAAATAAAAAAGGTTGCATAAAAAAAAACTTTTGGTCTAATTTTAATAATAAGCTCTTATTCTCTTCTAACATGGCAGACTTTGTAGTATAATATGTTAATACAAGTAGAAAATCTTAAAGAGATCATCGATATGGATATTAATATATAATATAAGTGATGGATTCATACTACCTATATATAGAAGTCATATTCTGCTTAACATTTATATTCTTAGATTTGATAGCTTAAGCCAATCAAATTTTCTTGAAATGTCTACTAGAAGAAAAATAGTATCATGCTTTACTTGATATTTATACTTTTAGATTTGATAGCTTGTGTTAATCAAGGATTACAGTTTTGAAACATTTATTAGAAGATATATACATATGTGAAATTCTTATTAATAGTTATATAAGTCAAAGATATGAAGTAAAAATATGATCTACCAAATACTAACATATATTTCCATAACAAGATTATATTCTAACCTTAGTAAAAAAAGGTGATTGAAGTATCTCTGAATTGGCTTATATAAAAAGGTTATCTTGTATGCCTTTTGATAAAATTGAATTAATAGGTTAAATAATTTAAAACTAGTAACAGAATTTCTATCTCTTGATAATTCCGTCTAACATATGGACCCATCTCTGATATAATTCTATATAAATTGAATTATACAGATTGATTAGATTATGATTAAACTTATAGTTAGTAATAATATTAGTATATACTATATGAAATTGTTTAAATATATAGTTTAAATCAATTTCAATAAAAAACCATAATATTAATTACATTTTTCATCATAAAAAAAATAATAATAATAAAATTTTTTTATATCAATAAAACTATTTTTTTAATTCTTATAATAGATTTTTTTTTTATAATAAAATTTTATTTTATAATAACAATTTAGATTTAATTTATATATAAAAGTAATTATTATTTTTTTAAAATAAAATTATTAATTAATAACTAATATATATATTTATACCTATTTATTTTTATATACTATTATGGATTAAAGTTTAAAGTAACATGTTACAAAATCTTGACTTCACAAAACTCTAGTACAAGAGTTACAGATTCTACAGAAGAATGATAGATAAAAAGAAGGGTGAATTTGATGAGTTTCAATGATTTGAAAAGATTTAATTGGTTGTAAACAGTATAATAAATATAGTAATTTTTATCAATGAACAACTTTTTTATTAACTTTTTCTAATAATAATTGGTTCTCTTCCTTAATTAATTATTATTGTTTTATTAATTACATATATGATTTTCCTGGAGAACCATTAAGATTATATATATATTATTCTTTATATATTATTATTTTATTTATTTATATTGAAAAAACATATATTTAAAGATTGTATTTTTTCTTTAATTATCTTTAAAGTTGTCTGCTCTACTCTTACATTAATAAAGTTTTTTTTAATTAATGATAAACTATTGATAACTATCATAATCTTTCATTAAACTATTATAAATATCTTGCCATATCTGAGAAATTGATTTGAAATTATTATTTAAGTAAAAAATTTAATTTATTAAGTTTATAATTGATTGGCTTGTTTTAAGGCTTTAAAACAATTTTCTATATGCTAAATATTCTTGATATAAAGTTCACATCTTGAATAATATGGTTTAAGTGTTGATTTGAATAAAGTTGATAAAAAATTTGATAAGTGAAAAGAGTTCTTAACAAAGTTTGACTTTGAATATAATTAGAATACTATATTTGTTTTTGTATAGTTTTTTTGATATTCTTATTAGATTTGTTAATAACTTTAAACCTATGTAGAATATATATACTTTATTAAATATTTATAAAATTAAAAAGTCAAGAATAAAATTCTTTTATTAAAGATTTTTAGATATGAACAGAATAATTTTATTGTTATAAAATTATTAATTACTTTATTCAAAGATCAAAAGAGCATTTTTAAATATATTTTTAATATTACAACATTTTTCAAATAAATAATAAAATAAAAATATATAAAATATTATATATATATCTATATAAGGACCTACCGGGTCATAGTCCAGTGGGCTAAGGCAGGGGAGGGCTAACCTATGACCTACGGTTCAATTCCAGCTGGGGGACAATTCACATATCCCAAATTTGGACTTTGTATCTCTGCCCCTGTAACTCCTGAT